AAACTAGATGTTGGATCTCTTTCTGGGGGGGAAGTGGCCCGCGAATACGAGTCCGAAAATAGTGTCTCATAAGGCAGGTAGAGTCCCCTGTCAACTCCCATTACATTCCTCCAGAGTCAGGAAAAAGTCTGAGTAAACGTTTTGGAGATCCATAGAAAAGGGGAGAAAATGAAAAAAAGTATCCAAAAATAGTGCCTCATAATGCGGGTAGGGTGCCCTGTCAACTCCCCTTACATTCCTCCAGAGTCAGAAAAAAGTCTGAATAAACTTTTTGGAGATCCATAGAAAAGGGGTGAAAATTAAAAAAAGTATCCGAAAATAGTGCCTCATAATGCGGGTAGAGTCCCGTGTCGACTCCCCTTGCATTCCTCCAGAGTCAGAAAAAGTCTGAGTTCACTTTTTGGAGAACCATAAAAAAGGGCTAAAAGTGATAAAAATGTATCCGAAAATAGTGCCTCATAATGCGGATAGAGTCCCTTGTCGACTCCCCTTGCATTCCTCCAGAGTCAGAAAAAGTCAGTTAACTTTTTGGAGAACCATAAAAAAGGGCTAAAAGTGATAAAAATGTATCCGAAAATAGTGCCTCATAATGCGGATAGAGTCCCCTGTCGACTCCCCTTGCATTCCTCCAGAGTCAGAAAAAGTCTGAGTTAACTTTTTGGAGAACCATAAAAAAGGGCTAAAAGTGATAAAAATGTATCCGAAAATAGGTCCTCATAATGCGGGTAGAGTCCCCTCAAACTCCTCTTACATTCCTCCAGAGACCAGTTCAAAAACTTAAAGTTTGGTCAGAACCATGCTGGGGGGTCTCCGGGCAACAAATGTATCCGAGCCAGAGTGCACACGGAGCGGACGCATTCCTCCATGAAGTTTTTCTGAGTCCTCTCAAAAACCGGGTTTCTGATTTCGTGCAGACAGTAGTCTGAAAATTATGAATTAATTTTTTTGACGGAGAAGGGGAGGCTTGGTTTCCCCTCTCCGTTGTAAATTGCAACGGGGGAGTGGAAAGGTGTCCGGGGCTTCGGCCGGAAGCGCCGAAGGGTTGAGATTTTTTGAGTTGTTGGCAAAAAATGTTTAAAACTTCATTTTTGATTATTTTTAGATATAATTGACCGTTTTCTTTACTTTTTTCTTCTCTCCACGGCTGGGGTTGCATGGCAGGCCGCCTTTGAGCTACCAAATTTGGCCTGGAACCTCCAGGATTTGTGGGATAAGCTCCATAAACTGACAAAGTCACCCAGAAATGTCACTTTTATAGCCCAAAAATATATAATACAAATACATTTAAATAGTAAAAGGTACAATTGTGCTCCGAATTACCCGGAATTTGATTTATATAGCCCCATGATAGTGAATACAAATCATTTTCATGGAAAAAAGTGTTAAAACGCCTGATTAAAGCATATGCATTGTGTTTGGGAACCATGTTAATGATAACGTAAATCATTTAAATGCAAAAATAATGATTAAAAATCATTTTTAGGGGGACAACTGTGGAGAGGAGCCTGAAAATGACTCTCCAGCACCCCGGAGAAGCAGGCTGTGAGACCCACAGAGTGCACCCAGAGAGCTCCTTGCAGCACATGGCTCCACATTTAACTCATGCAATGTACAAGAAGATAAGTAGAGCAGAGTCACCGCTGTTAGCAGGGTCTCAGACTCACAGGCACATAGGCAGAGATCCAGGGTGATGCACAAGGCTTTTCTACCCAGCAATAAGTCTCTGAAAGGTGGGGGAAAGTGGTGTGAATAGAGGGTGAGGGAATGCTCAAGTTTTGGGACAAAGTTAACATGGGATCTCTCCGGTCATTGTACGTACTTCGTCTCACTGGAATATTAACGGTCAGATTGAATACAACATCGACCCAAATTCTCCGGTCAATGACGGGAGAGTTTTGAAAGTGACAAAACGCTGTTCCACACATTTAAAAACACTTAAACAATTAAACAATGTTTACCCAGGATTTAGGCATCTTCCCTGTCATGTAAAATGTGGTGATGCGCCCTGGAAGTATCATACTATTTAAAACACGTATACCTAGGATGCAATCACTTTTCCTGGCTTGTAAAGTGCTGTGAAGCAGCCTGTTCTCTGGGTGCAGTCTGGGTGGAAGAGCCACCTGCTGCATGGAGCTCTCTGGGTCTCACACCCGCTTCTCTCTGGGTACTCTCTCCCTATTTAGAGGCAATGGACGTCCACTCTCAGGAGACGTCCGACAGTGGTGCGGTTACCCAAAGTAACAGACCTAATTTTACCCCTATTTAGAGGCAATGGACGTCCACTCTCGGGAGAGAGACCTCCAGCATGTGTCCCTGAAATGGGGACTCAGGTTATTTCACACATCCAGGACAGAGACCGGGGAAATCACCTCTCTGTGGCCCCTCCAAGACCCCCAAAGGACGGACTAATGACCTCCAGCATGTGTCCCTGACATGGGCACCTCCATAACCTTGCACACCGTGAGTCCCCGGGCCCCCGAACTTAAGCACTCCCCCACAGACTAAACCCAGATGATCACACCCTACAGAATATCATGCCCCTGGTAACCCTAAAAGAGAGGTGGATTTTGCGGTGCTTTACCGTCCGCCCATCGGCATCCATATTCGGCCTTATTCACGGCACCACCACCCCTTCTGTGGAGGATATTCTCATGCTCCTGGTAACCCTTTAAATAGTCTGATACTACCAGGGCTCATCACTGCACTTTACAAGCCAGAAATAATGTTTAAATGGTCGGGGAAAGTGTTTTTAAACATCTGGAAGAGAGTTTTAGCCTGTCATTTTGCACAATATCATTTATCATTGAGCCTCTCTTGAAAATGCACATATTCTGTGCATTTTCAGGAGAGGTTCAATGATAAATGATATCGTGAAAAATGACAGGCTAAAACCCAGGAATAAGTGTTTGAACGGCGGGGAAAAGTTGTTTAAAATAGTCTGATACCTCCAGGGCGCATCACCGCATTTTACAAGCCAGGGAAGGTGTCTGAATCCTGGGTAAACATTTTTTAAATAGTCTGATACCTGGCAGTGTATCTGCCCCTGGGAACCTTCAAGGTTAAAATGTTTTATTATTTATTTAATTATCACATGATTTTTACAAAAACAGTATACACAGTATACATAATAAAAACATGATTAGCGGGGGCCCGGGGACCATATTAGCCGTCTAACTTGTACGGTGCACCGGGGAAACCAGGTTGAGTCCACGGCCCCTGCCCCCTCGTCAGGAGTATCAACCGTCCCTGAATAAGAGGTTTTGCTGCTCTCAGCCCCTGAGCCCTATTCGGAGGTATCTGACGGCGGTAGACCCCCTTCTGATCCTTCCACCCTTCACTTCTCAAAGTGTTGAATAATCAGCTCTGCACCGTGACACTAAAAGACTGACTAAGAGTACATTTTAACTCTCTGAGGGTTCTAGGTATACACTGCACGTGTTGGAAAGCACTCAAACTGTGAAAAAAAGTACCAGTTATAGTGTATATTTTGACTCCCAAAGTGTTCAAATCTAACTCTTTATTTGCAGTTTATATTTCACTCTTTTGACAGTGTTCAGAGAACACCAAACTCTTGGACCTATATACACCCCGAAACTGGTGTTAAATGTACTCTTATAGAGTACAATGTACACTGTGGTTTTTGCTGTGCAGATATCACAACACGTACCTTTATGGAGCTTTTACGGGAGATCGTCTCACCGTAGCTGTCAATCTGATCAAAAGCAGTGGTGTAGTGGGGATTTTTTTTACTGGGGGGTCGCTATTTTAATTAGGTCATCCCAAACAATGCCACACAAGGTCTTCTCCTCTATGCTCTCTCTCTCTCGCTATCGCTACTCTCTCTCTCTATCTATATATCTAGCGTCTCTCTCTCTCTACTCTCTATCTCTCTCTGCTATCTCTCTCTCTCTCTCTCTCTCTCTCTCTCTCTCTCTCTCTCTCTCTCTCTCTCTCTCTCTCTCTTCTGCTCTCTCTCTCCATCTCTCTCTCTCTCTCTCTCCCTTCTCTCTCTCTCTCCAAAAGCTTTATTAGCATGACCATATTTACATTTACTGATTATTTTAATCAGATTAATCACAGCTTAAAAATGTATTAATCATGATTACTCACCATTCGAACTATGTCCAAAATATGCCATTTCTTTATGTATATTGTTGTGGGAATGGAAAGATAAATGAAAGAAGGCGGATATATCCATTTAACATACATGTCTAACATACTATGTTTATTATAACATTTTTTTCTGTGTGTCAAATGAAAGATGATGCGCCTATCAATCATTAAACCGTGGGGTCTTAATCATTACGTGTTGATTTCTATCAACGGGGGAGTACTTCAGGAAAGTCGACGGGGGGGGGGCTAGTGGAGTACTTCGTGACCACAGAGCGTGAACGTTGTGATCAGCTGTTTTAGCGCAGTTCTCCAGTGAAGGGGGGGAGTCTACCTCCGCAGCCGGTTGGCGTAGTTTTGGCACAATTCCGTTGTACAGACCGACGTTAACAGCAGCCTGTCTGTGCACACGGAGACCGACTCTGTCGTCCGGTGATCTAACCGCCTTCTGGAAAAGCTTCACAAGTACGTCGGTACGCAAATGCGCTTTGTGACACAAGTGACGGTACGCATTTCAGATTACGCACATAACCTGCGTACCAGTTATGTGCACCCCTGTACTACAGCAAAAGTATTCTCCGTCGGGACTTCCTGCAACAACACCACGCCGTTATCTTGATTCTGATTGGCCAGAAGACATTATCAAAGATGTTCTATTGAGAAGACGATCACTACGTGACAAAAGTTTTCAAAACCGTTTCTGGTCTTCGGTATTTCCAGACAAGTGGCTACTGAAATCAATCTTACTAACTGCTGTCTGTGCAATTCTCGGCGCGAGTTGGCGGACTTTGTTTTGCTTCCTTTAACATCATTTTTCATGGTGGGGCTAAGCCATTTCTTGGTATGGGTGTAGCCTACCCCAGCCATACCCTGGCGCTGCCACTGGTGGGATGTATGGGGCGGGCCATTCTGCACATGCGTTAAATGCGTTAAATATTTTAATGCAATTAATTAAAAAAATTAATTACCGCCGTTAACGCGATAATTTTGACAGCATTAATATATATATATACGGGTAGCTGCTCTCAGGAGGGAGTCCAGGAGAAAAGAGAGAAGGAAAGTGGCCTTCGCTCAGAATCTGTGTTACCTTCAAGGACAAGGGGAAACATGTACAGGTAACAAAACAGAGGACTAGAGTTCAACTGTCACACACACTCCACGAGGTTTAGCCTCAGCTCAAGTTGAGCTCTCTGGAAAGATACGGGTCCAGCTCTCGGAGAGCATTGATCAGAACCCTGCTGGCTGCAGCTCCTTTATTTCGCACCGCGTCCACCACCTCTCGTGCTCCGTCATTTTTGGGTTTGATTCTGGCTGACGTCATTTCAGATTCACTGATCACTTCAGACTCAAAGAGTTTATCCAGAAGGTCGTTGAGGACAGGTGGAGTCACTCCTCTAATGAACTCTGTCCGAACTGAGAGCAGCCTCTGGTCTGCTGGGAATCTGCTCTCTGCTGGGACTCTGCTCTCTGCAGGGACTCTGCTCTCTGCTGGGACTCTGCTCTCTGCTGGGACTCTGCTCTCTGCTGGGACTCTGCTCTCTGCTGGGATATTTCTCTGGGACAATGCATGCCTTGTACCTGCTAAATAAACAGGGAAAATACTTTTGTTAACCAACAATCACATTAAACAGATCTCTTAAAAATTAAAGTAACTCGACAATCCCAGAGGTGGATTTCTGTTCACTTAAAGTTATAATATGTAACATTTCCTCATTCAAATGTATAAGACTCCTACACCTGTATTATTTATACTTGGTTGAGTTGTGTACATAGATTATCCCAAATGTTTCAGAGAGATGTGTCATTTTAAAGGTAACAATACGTTTCATCATGGTCTCCTGTAATGCCGTAATCCACTTAAGCATGAGAAGCTGAAGACTACAACTCCCATGATGCCACACTATTTCACCACCACACTAGTTATTACTATAGTTATAGAACATTACAGGTTGTGTGTTTAATGTCCTAATGATGCGCTGCCATGGAGCCTTAATAGAGAAGGCTATGAGATAGAGCTTTAGAGTTATCAGTCTATCACTGGGTCTGAGCTCAGGTAGAGTCTTTACCTTCCAGTGACAGGCGACAATACCAGACTTCATTTCCATCTTCGTCCTTGAGCTTCAAATCCACGGTCTCTGTGCTCGTCGTCAGGGAAACTTGAAATGTCGGATCGTAATCTGGTCCAAAACTGGATTCAAATGTTTTACTCTGAAAACCAGAAGCAGAAGTTAAACGTGTATCTGTTTCTTTCCTGATTGTGGATCCACATGCAGATAAATGTGTGTTAATGATCATTGTGTTCCTTTAGAGGAGTATCAGTATTCACCTCAGGCTGAATGAAGAAGCCCTCAGGTTCACAGTGCACACTGTAACCTTTGTACAGTTCCAGCTCACAATCGGAGGAGATTGTGATGTTCTCAGCACGTCTGTGTTGATCAGCAACCTTTAGTAACAGAGTAACTTTAGTTATGCTCAGATAGTCAAGGCAACTTTATTTAAAGATCACATTAACCTGTTAAACCCTGAGCCTGTTTTTCAGGTCTCAGGCTCGAAAATGACATTTCCAGAACAAATGACCATATCTTCCCTTCTAAAAGGGGAAAATTAATTAAAAAAATTCTCAAAGTAATGATAAACCTGTGAGTTGGATGTGGAAAAGTCACAAACAAAATAGATGTTTTTTATTTTAAAGAACATTCAGATTGAACATGGTAAAACACTGTAAATTATAGTGGCCGTCCAAAATTATTTTTTACTTATAGTGAAAACCACCCTTGTAAGGTGGACCAAAAGCTTTAGGAATCCAAAGTACAACATATAATAAGTACTCTGTATCAATATTGATGCAAAACAAGTGACATTTGACCTTTTTAGAGAGGTTTAGCAAAAAAACTCCACCTCTGAGGTGATTTTGGTGGAAATGGGCGTATTTACAGTTTCTCTGGAACCCATTGGTCAATTTTGGTGATTGACATCTCTTTCTGACCGTTAGAGCCAATAGAATCGAAGGGGGGTTTTCACATACACACCAACATTACCAAAAAAAGGTGGGGGCTTTGCGCATGTAATTTTGCATGAGAGTGAAGCTATCTCTCGCTCTGACATCTGGAAACGGAAAAGCAGGTTTATTGCTTATGGATTATCAGAAATCATTTCAAAGGGACACAGACACATTGGATTAACCTATGGATTAACTTCAGCAGCGTTTTAATCGTTGTAATGCCATTGAAGACAACTTTTGACCAGACAACGACCAAGGTAGGCCATGTTGCCGGTTTTAGCTACCTAGCGCCACATGTTTTGATGTCTGTTCTTGTTAATATCTCTGCGAGTTCTTATCATAGAGTGAAAATGTATGTACCGATCAATTCTGTGTCTTCTCACGATGCGAATCAATTGGTTGGATAAGCAAAAAAGATACATAATAAGGGTTTTATGAGTGAGTTTCTGTGCAGTACTGCGTTAGCATTTTTTGCTCATTGCTAATTCAGAGGCTGAGCGTTAGCATTGTGCGGTTTAAAAAAAAAAGAAAGAAAAAAATATCAGTTAGCTGAGTTTCTTCCTGTTACATGGATATAAAACATTCATAGTTTATTAAATATTAAGATGCCCTCAGACACTGTTTCCTGCAGATGATACGTTTTTCCCCCCGGTACCGGGGGGAAGGGGCTTAACAGGTTAAACAACAACACACGTTGACAGACCTGCTCCACAAAGTGATGAGATACACAATCAATCACAACATAATTATAAGTATGTATTGCCTTTGTAAAGGAATATTACAAATAGATTATTTTAATTCTTTGAAATAAGCTATTGAAGAAGTTATTCCAACGTTAACCAAAACACAAACTGTTATAGCAGAATGTTTATTACAGCGTATTTCTGATATATTCATTAATGTCACATGGTATAAGCTACAGTATAGTGGACGGTGTGTTGTTCATTTGGTTTGCTTGAAGGAGGCCCATCTATAGGCAATCAGCTGAAACTCACAAGCAGTTGTATACATTGGCATGTGTGGTAGCTGCTAAATAAGGTCATGAAATCTGGGATCATGTAGAACTCAGAGGATGCAACATATATGACTGTATAAGGTTGGAACATCTCTGCCATGTGTGCTGTTTCAAGTGTATGTTCGTGTGTGTTTTACATGTATAAAGCACATGAGATCTTTCTGTTCTTGGGGGGCAGTTCCGCGATTGGCTGCTGTGGCAGCAGGTGATGTACTCCCCATTATTATTTGTTTGTTGCAACAACTAAATAATAATTACTGATCAGCTATATCTGTGTTTGTGTTTTATTGATTCCTCTCTGTTTCATTCTTTCCTGTTGTGTGAGTGTTGGATCGCCACAACAAAACCATCTGTGTCGGTTATACAACACAAAAGGCTGCTGCCCAAGCTGTAACATGTGGCTGGTAGGGATGAGATCACGTTGTCTTGGCAGTGATTCATCTTAGCAGGTCTTTCAGTTCTGTGTGATGTGTTTAACATTTATGCCATCAGTTTCCGCAGACAGAAAGACATGCTGAGAGAGAATCATACAAAACCACAAAGAGCGATCTGAAGATTTACAGTTCAGATAGATCTTATTCTTCTCCCAGCACGAGAAGGTTTGAGAAGAGGAGCAGTGTGTGTGGAAATAGCTGTGGTTTAAACCAGTGTTTAGTCTGATGGTGAGCACATGGCCTTACCTCCTTCTTAGGGACGTTTTTCTGCAGCAGATGTATATCCAGTGTTTGCTCCTCTCTGACCGGGGGTCTTAGGAACACCAGAATCTTGCCCTTTATCCGCAGAAGCAGAACCCTTTTAATGATATCCCAGACCAGGCCAAAGAGAGAGAAGTGAGGCACCTTCAGCACCACGTGAGTGCGTGTGACCTCCAGTGGCTCCAAGATGCTCAGGCCTTCATCAGTGATGTGGACGACAGACAACAGGCCGTCCAGGAGCAGCGCTGTGGAGCAAAGAGCAGGTCATCTGTTGCATTGCTGTTGAAACAGCTTCATCGTATTCAATGTCACACCACTTTAGCTCAGAGCTAATGTTCATCTAATGTCATTCACTTTGGAGCCTCACTAGGATGTACCAGTTTATATCCTTCACCTTTTATTCTAATGTTTCATTGTTGTTCCGCCCCCTGTGAGCTTTCTGGATGTGAGCATTTGTTGTTATGCATAGACTTTATTAATTATTTTGTATTCACCAGACTGCTGAAATGTTTGTAATCTGCTGCCAGAACAGCTTGACTGTGTCCGGTCTCATGTCTGAGTGATTCTCTAGATGTGTGAAGAGTTTTCTAAAGCTTTTAGGGCGTAGAAAGTCTAACTTATAAATGTTGTTGTCTGTTGTTTTGTTTTGTACATGGTTCAGCCAGACTGACAATGTAAAGAGCAGAAAGAGCAACAGATGAATAACAAAGTAAGAATTCATCAAACTGCTTAGCATCACAACAGTAACAGAGAGTTAGCGTTGAGTTAGCACTGTTAGCAGCTGAGCATGCTGTGGACCGACCAATCACAGTTTAAATCTCTTTAATATTACAGTGAGGAGACTGCAGAGGGCCCATAGAAAAACGAACTCAGTATTTAGAGCTGCATTGCATCGTATGCTTCAATAATGATGTCATGCAACACATCGACTAAATGGATGTTTTAATAATTGAATTCTTCTTCTTTTGAATCAGATTTGGTGCCTGAATTATACTGTTGCTATATTTGTTAGACTAGTTTAATAAAGCTGCTTTATAACTCTTGAACCCTAGTGAATAGTATAAAGTGCTAATCATTATATAGTGTATTTGTTAACACTAGATGTCTTTACCATCCTCTGTCTCACTGTGTGGCAGGTGGAGCTGGCAGACGGCAGCTTCACCAGAACTCTTCACCTCGAACAGCGGCCCTGCTGCCTTCTTGCCAGCTAATTGGAGGAAGCTCTCCTCCCAAGGGACAGTCCTGTACAGAAGCTCCGCCTCCTGAGCCATGACGAACACCAGGCCAGTCGAAGCACACTGGAACTCACCTGGACCAGGACACCTGAACCTGTAGACACACAGGGGACAGGTTAGTGGTTACTACAACAAGCCTTCACTGACCTGTGTTCTGACTGACAGGTGTTCATCCAGCTGGAGTCTGACCTGGAGGAGGGTTTGTTGAAAGATCTGAAACACCTGATGATTACAGGAACATCACTGAAGATGTATCCACATGCATCAGAATGTGTGTGCAAACACATTTTCATTAAATTAACAAAATGTCTAGTCCAGCGAGGATCTAGACTGGTACAAGAAAACAATCCTTCCTACACACAGAGGCAATATTTTATTTACGTCTGTTGGAAAGAGATTGGATGCAATACCTCAAGGTGAAAGACATGAAATCAAACACAATTAAATGAATATATATTTTTCATGTGTTTAAAATAATGTTTGGTCATGTTATAGGATTACCTGTATGAAGACTCAGTTGTGAGTTCAGGTGAGAAGGATTCAGGAGCCTAGAACAAACAAAGGTAGTTATTTTAATAGAAATCAAGTTAAGTTCTAGCTTCATGAAACCAAACCACAATTCCACAACATATTCAGACCAATTTGAAAAATGCAAATTAGTCTGGATGATCTGAGTTCCTCGTCAATTTCAAACGTGTTATTAACGGATTAACATGTCACAGCAGTACCAGCCAATCACAGCACAGTACAAGGCAATTCAAAGTGCTTTACAAAAATGAAAGAGATTAAGAAATGGCATTTAAATCAGTCATTAAAAAGAAAAGCTAATAAAATAAACATTAAAAGAAAAAATACATGGATAAAAGTTACAGTGCAATTAAACATTAAAAGAAAAAAGTACATGGATAAAAGTTACAGTGCAAGTCTAAGCTATGAATAGTTCAATTAAAAGCAGCGACAAAAAGAAAAGTCTTCAGCCTGGATTTAAAAGTAGTAAGAGTTGCAGCGGACCTGCAGGTTTCTGGGAGTTTGTCCAGATATTTGGAGCATAATAACTGAACGCTGCTTTACCATGTTTAGTTCTGACTCTGGGACAGAAAGCTGACCAGTCCCTGAAGACCTGAGAGATCTGGATGGTTCATAATTTAGCAGGAGGTCAGAAATATATTTTGGGCCTAAACCATTCAGTGCTTTATAAACCAGCAGCAGTATTTTGAAATCTATTCTGTGACACACAGGAAGCCAGTAGAACCAGCCAATCACAGCACAGTAGAACCAGCCAATCACAGCACAGTAGCACGCATACAGCAAGTAGTCAGCCAATCACAGCACAGTATTACCAGCCAATCACAGTAACAGGGCGGGATATTGTTTAGGTTTTTAGATAAATTGCGAGCATTTAACTTGACAGCCCTAATAAATGAAATAAATATACTCCACTCTGTACAACTGCTCCTCTCTCACCTTTCTGTCTGTCTTCACTTCCTGTTCCACATCGGAGTCACCTGATGGAGAGAGGTGGTGACAGAGAAACATAATTATAAAGCAATAATAATAATTATTGTACTATAAATATATTTTAAGATCAGATTTAATGTACAATAGTTTGATGAATGGAGGATATGGTTTCAGTACTCACAGGTCTTCTGGATCTTGGCTCTAATCGTTTCACCATGTCTCCTGCAGGGATGAATTTCAAATAAGTGTTTGTTCTTTGAGTCAGCTTCAGAGTCCTGACTGATCTCATGCTTTACATCCCATCATATCTTCTCTGCAAACACTACGACTGACTGCCACAGCTCTCAGCTGCATCACAGGAAGTAACTGCTCATTAGGCTAGAAACTAAAAACATGACAGGAAACAAAACAGAAAACATTTTCCACTCTTCTGTAAAATCCTATATGTCTTTTAGAAAGTTGCTAACCAACTAAATGTGGCTTTGCATTTTCAGCTTACAATATATAGTTGATGGAAGAATGAAAGAAACTGCAGTCAGTGGTAATATCACTGATCTGTTGAGATTCCCCAGTGAGAGAAACACCTCCCTGTGTTTAAAACAATACTGCTGAACCAGCAGAGACCCTGTACTGACCTGAGAGTCTCCAGTCTGCAGTCTGGACTCTCCAGAAGATCTCTCAGCAGCTCCACTCCTGAATCCTGCAGAGCGTTCTCACTCAGGTCCAGATCTCTCAGATGGATGTTGGACTTCAGAGCTGAGGCCAGAGCAGAACAGCTGATCTCTGACAACCTGCAGCCCCTCAGTCTGAATAAAGAAAACATGATGAGGATACAAATCTGTTTATAATCCAATCAGATGTTCAGGTTTATTAAGTGTAGCTCAACATTCCTGTCTCCTAATCAATGAGCTTTTCCCTGAATTAGTGACTGTCATTCTGTTATTGTGGATCATCATAATATCAGCCTTCTGTTTATTATCTGTGAAAACATTGAAATCAATGGGAAGCAAGAAAAACATGTATGCTTCAGAGATCAATGTAAAACTAATACTAGTTCAGATGAACTTCTTTATTCAGATGTGACCATTTACTAAAGACAACATACATTTACTTGAACAACTAACATATATATTTGAAGAAACAGTCAACTTTTATGACTGCAGACTAAATGTAGTACAAGAAAAATAAGAATATGAACAAAAGGACTGTGGCAGTGGGGTGTGGTTAGAGCGCCGGCTGCTGGAGGGATGGGGGTGGCTCCAGACAGCTGGACAAGGATCAGGTAACCAGGTGAACAGTAAAGCATGTCAGTAACCTGGTTCTTGTCTCTTGGTCTGGGTCCTGGGGGCAGAATGACTTGCCCCAAGAAAGCCTGTCACTGGCAGCAGTGTTCTGTCTGTTTCCTAAAGTATTGATGTATTGTTTGCAAGCTGTGGCCAGTCAATAAAGCTTTCTTTTAGGCAAGCCTTCCTCTCCTTCTGGCCTTTTTAACTGGGTGAGCAGGAAAACCCTCACAACGACATATACAAATGTGTGGTTGTTCAAGCATTAGGTTCAACTGTTAATGAAACACATGAGATCTCCAGCAGTAACAGAGAGTCAGTGAACTGACCCGAGAGCCTCCAGTCTGCAGTCTGGACTCTCCAGAAGATCTCTCAGCAGCTCCACTCCTGAATCCTGCAGATCGTTCTGACTCAGGTCCAGAACTCTCAGATGGATGTGGGACTTCAGAGCTGAGGCCATAGCAGAACAGCTGATCTCTGACAACCTGCAGCCACTCAGTCTGAATAAAGAACACATGATGTAACTTTAGAAAACAATGTTCCTGTTTGAAATAACTCCAGGTTTAATAATCTGCTCAGAGCTGAAGAAGGTTAGAAAGTGGAAACTCCAAACAGGTTAAAAACTGCAAGATACAGATAGAGGGAAAGAGCTCTCATTAATATTAAAGACAACGTGCTTCTACTTCAATAAAACGAGGAGACTTCACATCTGAGACTCTGCTCCATCTACACTAACTCATGATGTGCAGCCAGACCAATACAAACCACAGAAAATGATTCAACTCAAGATCACAACGTTTACAAAGATCACAATTCAGGATGAATTTTAAATGTGAAGAAAAACATCCAGAATATGTATTTTAGGAATAGTGGAGTCATCAAATCACAGCATCTTCAGAGTGAACTATTCAGTCAGTATCAGCATCATGTAGCTTCAGGAACATGTTGGAAACAGCAACAACTGAACATACTTGTTAGTGTTGGATAGATTTAATATAATCATTTAATTAATGTATTCAGTGCTTGAATTGGAATGAAAAAGGTGCCAGTACTCTAAAATCAGCAACTTTTTCAAGTCAATTTTATATATACAGCCCACAAACAAGAATTTGGCTACTATAATGCTGGTTTGTCTCTTTACTACTGTATATTTTAGAAAGGTTCACTGTACCTAACATTTTTTATGATAGGCAGCGGATATGGCTAAAGCTCAGTAAGGTCAATATTAACTGAAAATATAGCAATCAAAGTCTAGATCTTCTGCTGAAGACACATGAAGCAGAGACCTTTCAGGTGAGAGCCCCTCTGGTGGTGTTCAACATTAATGACAAGGAAACAAAGCTCTGGTCAGAAGCATTTTTTATAAAAAGCTTTAACAAAATTAAGTATTTCTGTACATTTTGAATGCAATCTAACTTTCCAACTCAGAAAACGAAAAACAAAAAAGTGCCAAAAGTCTTCTCACATGGCTGAGCTGCTTTGCAATATACTTCACCACTGAAGAATACAAATATGTATAAAGTAAACTATGATGCAATCTAACTTTCCAACTCAGAAAAATGATAAAGAGCATGAACAAAGAACATGTAAAAACAAATGAAAAATTTGCACAATCTAAAATGAGAAACTGTAACTGCAAGTAACAAAGTCTGAGCCATGGTAAAGAGTTACATTGAACACCAAGCTGATCAGATAACTCCCTGGTTGGTCTGAAGTCCTTCTATCTCCAGGATCTGTACAAATCGGCACATTATGCCAAAAGTCTTCTCACTGGGTGAGCTGCTTTGCAATATACTTCACATTGTTAGAAAAGGCTCCAGAAGGCCTTGGGGACATCAGTATCAGGGGCTGGAGCTGGACAGGCTCTTTCATCAGCACTTCTCCTTCCCTTTGCCAGCCAGGACCTCACATACTGTTCCGGATTGAACTGTCCTAGTGATGGTCCATTACATTTAATGAAAACCAGGCTTGACAGTCAGCTGACAGAGAGAGCATTCCTTTTTGCAGTAAGGATATCGTTCATGCAGCTGAATGCCCGCTCACACTCACTAGTGGAGACAGCGATGGTTCGGACTGCTTTCAGTAGAGGCTCCATGGCAGCAGGTGTACGGGATGCCCTGGTTTCCTTGTATTCGCGAAAGCCCTGAACAGTCTCTCTTCTGTCCACTTTCAGCACTTCGCACAAACGTAGCACCTCTACGTCCCCATACTGTACGTCTAACTCCTCTTCAGGCCAACTTCCAGGATGGATAACTTTCATGTCCTGGATTAGCTGATTGTCCCGGGCCTCCCGGCCATGTAATGGGATTTCTCTTGTGCTGACATGAGAGGAGGTTGTGGAAGTCATTCTGTGTCTCAGATTCTCTACCATACTGCGGAAAAACTGACCTGCATGAATCTGTACAAGCCTGCCATTCTCACGCAGGGCAACACCCTTGAAGGACTTCTCAGCTAGAGCTGTATGAACTGTAGTCATGTGTGGGCCAGGCATGGTGACCATGGATTCAAAAACTCGTATTTCTCGAGTTAAGAGCCTATCTGCTGTAGGCAGTGTCATCTCTCTTTTTTGGAGTTGCCGAGAGAGGTCGCTGAGCTCTGTGAGCGCATCGTACATCAGTCCCAGATTGCTGACAAACGTTGCAGATGTGAGCACATCATCCATGCCCTTGTACTTTGCTCTGTCTCTGGAATCCCTGCTCGTGTCGTTTGCAGCATTTGTGAAGTGATCATGAAGCACTCGGTAGTTTTCCCAGACTGCTCTGACGCTCCTTTCACTTGAAGCCACCCAGCGGATGGACAAAACACGCCCTATCACCAGGAGACGCTGTCCGACTGCTTGCGCACACTGTGCTAACTGCCTCTGATTTTTGGGGGAGGCATGGAACAAGGAATAGAGTTTGTCAAAAAAGATCTGGAAATGATTGAGCCCTGAGACCTCCTTGACCACATCCCCAACTGCCAGCTCTAGACGATGATTGGAGCAGTGCCACACAAACAGGCTTGGGAATTTACTACACAACTGGGTAGCAACGCCTGTTCTCTTCCCTAGCATGACTGAAGCCCCATCACATGCAAAAGAAACGAAACACTGACCTAAAAAGTCCTCGTTAAAATATCTTCCAAGACACTCCATTAACGCCTTTGTGATGTCATCAGCCGTTGTTCCATCCAACTCGATCAGCTCCCAAAAAACGTTTCGGGCTCAGCATCAGCTAATGCTGAGCGTAGACACACAACAAGCACCGTTTTTACCACTATTAGTGGTAGATTCATCGACCAAAACACAGAGTTTTCTTTGGTTTTCTGTAATGTCTTTTGCCATTTTTTTCTTCAGCTCATGAGCTATGTGGTCGATGATTTCGCCACAGGTTTTATTGGAGTGCAAAACCCTGCCCACGTTCAGCCCATTCAGTTTCTGTACATTCAAATCAATTGGCATGTCTGTGAATGGCCAGCTATGTTTGCCAATTTGATATGCCGTTCGAAAAACTCTGATAGTGGTGTCTAATTCAGATTTATGCATAGACTGCACTTGATGTTGAATAGTTTCACATGAAGCAGATGTAAGGATGTCAGCAGCTTTTACATGGGCTTGTGATTCTTTATGTTCTTTGATTTTTTTTTCTCAGGCTAGCTTGTTGTTTGCCCTTGTCAACACCGAAATGAGACACTGCACACTCACCCCATTCAGTTGACAGTTTCAGTCCTTGTCCAGTGTGTATTCCCAAAGATTTGACATCTCTGCATATCCGACATCCTAGCTTCTTATCTTTAAGAAGGAGCCATGCATTGGTCTTGCAAAAATATTGCACCTGGTCCGTTGTCCAGCAGTCAGGTGCATCGCTTTGCCCGGTGTTGGTGGTGGCAGTTGAGCCAGCAGCAGCTAACGTTAGAGGCTCTGGAGGAGGCGGCGGAGCTAGTGCTAATGCTAATGCACTAGAACTTGGAGCAGGAGGATCAACCAAAGAAAGCTCCCCATCAGACACAATTTCCAACACAGGCACAGCATTCTCTGTATTTGAAGTTTCTTCCGGCGACAACCGCTGTCTTTTTGCACTTTTATTAATCCACGCTAACATTTTAGAAATGCTAATTTGTGAAGTGACTTGCTTTCCTTCTCTCGGGGGCGTGCCTGCTCTGTTCTATCACTCTACATAGCCACCCACTGGGTGGGAGTTGCACTGCATAAACACAACACACGTGCATCTAGGTATGTAAATTGTAAAGCATTAAAACATGGTTTTACTAACAGTTTTCAGTATGTTGTTACTTCGGCATTATTATTATTATTATTTTGAAACGTGTATTACTATTAAATCACGGTCAAATAGGTTAATTTTGACATAGTCGTTTCCACCACAGTATTTACATGGAGAAGATAAGCCCCGCCCCCTCTCCAGCACGTTATGTTTGAATGACAGGAGTAAACAGCTGACAGCCGCTGTGAAACTCCAGCGGTTAGAGCGATGAGAATGTCCGTTCGGCACCTCATGACGCATCTACTGAGTACCGGGCGGCTGTATATATATATATGGATGTATAATAAGAACGGCGGGAGAGTGTTGAGTACTGGCACGGTGCATGAGTACCGGAGTACCGCCAGCATGCCGGTACTGAGCAAGAAGTGCCGGTACTCCATGGGTCAGAACCAGAAGTGCCGGTACTTCGTACCGGTGAGTACCGGCCCAATTCCAGCACTGAATGTATTTGATATCATTTGTTAAAATCATGATGGAGAATACAAGATGAATTTCATCTGTTTAAAAGGTTCAGATTGAATTCTGCAGTGAAGGTTTTTGTTATATTTAAATGTAAAGATCAACATTGCATTATGCAACTCTAGCATTAAGATGCTCAGTGAGGATCAGAGTGATATCAGCCTGATGTCTACAGCTCAGAGTCAACACAAATCTCACATATTCATCTCAGCACACAAGTTAAAGATGGAGAACTGACCTGAGAGTCTCCAGTCTGCAGTCTGGACTCTCCAGAAGATCTCTCAGCAGCTCCACTCCTGAATCCTTCAGATCGTTGACACTCAGGTCCAGATCTCTCAGATGGATGTTGGACTTCAGAGCTGAGATGAGAGCAGCACAGCTGATCTCTGACAACCTGCAGTTTATCAGACTGAATAAAGAAAACATGATGTAACTTTATAAAACAATGTTCCTGTTTGAAATAACTCAATGTTTAATAATCTGATCAGAGCTGAACAATGTTTTAACGTCAGAAATGATGTAGAAACAAATCCCTGATAATCTGGAACTCTCTGCAGCAGTTTCTCTCATCAGATGTTTAACAACTCCTTCATCTCCCTCACAGCTCATCAGTACTGACAGCAAGGCAAGGCAAGTTTATTTATATAGCACTTTTCAACACAAGGCAATTCAAAGTGCTTTACAAAAAATGAAAGACATTAAGAAAATGGCATTTAAAATCAGTCATTAAAAAGAAAAGCTAATAAAATAAACATTACAAAAAAAAATACATGGATAAAAGTTACAGTGCAGTCTAAGATATTAATTGTTCAACTAAACATTAAAAGAAAAAGTACATGGATAAAAGTTACAGTGCAGTTTAAGATATGAATAGTTCAATTAAAAGCAGCGACAAAAAGAAAAGTCTTCAGCCTGGATTTAAAAGTAGTCAGAGTTGCAGCGGACCTGCAGGATTCTGGGAGTTTGTTCCAGATATTTGGAGCATAATAACTGAACGCTGCTTCTCCATGTTTAGTTCTGACTCTGGGGACAGAAAGCTGACCAGTCCCTGAAGACCTGAGAGATCTGGATGGTTCATAATTTAGCAGGAGGTCAGAAATGTATTTTGGACCTAAACCATTCAAAGCTTTATAAACCAGCAGCAGTATTGAAATATATTCTTTGACACACAGGAAGCCAGTGTAAAGACTTCAGAACAGGAGTGATGTGATCCACTTTCTTAGTGTTAGTGAGGACTCGAGCAGCGGCGTTCTGAATCAGCTGCAGCTTTCTAATAGATTTTTTAGTGAGACCTGTGAAGACACCATTACAGTAGTCCAGTCTACTGAAGATAAAAGCATGGACAAGTTTTTCCAAATCCTGCTGTGACATTAGCCTTTTAATCCTAGATATATTCTTTAGGTGATAGTAGGCTGATTTAGTAACTGTTTTAATGTGACTGTTGAAACTCAGGTCAGAGTCCATGACTACACCTAGATTTCTGGCTCTATCTGTTGTTTTGAACATTGCAGACTGAAGCTCAGCGCTAACTTTTATACGTTCTGCCTTGACTCCAAAAACCATTACCTCAGTTTTATCTTTGTTTAATTGGAGAAAGTTCTGACACATCCAGTCATTGATTTGTTCAATGCACTTACTCAGTGTTTGAATTGGAGCATAGTCTCCTGGTGAAATTGTTACGTACATTTGTGTGTCATCTGCATAGCTATGGTAACTTATTTTGTTGTTTTTCATTATCTGAGCCAGTGGTAGCATGTAGACGTTAAAGAGAAGAGGCCCCAAGATGGAGCCTTGAGGTACCCCACATGTCATATTTGTCAACTCCAATGTGTATTTACCTATAGAAACAAAGTTGTTTCTGTCCTTTAAGTAGGATTCAAACCAATTTAGAACTGTTTCCGAAAGTCCCACCCAGTTTTCTAGTCGGTCGAGTAATATGCTGTGGTCAACAGTGTCAAACGCAGCACTGAGATCTAATAATACTAACACTGAAGTTCTGCCACTATCTGTGTTTAAGTGGATGTCATTGAAGACCTTTACAAGAGCAGTCTCAGTGCTGTGGTTTGGACGAAAGCCTGACTGGAACACATCGAAACAGTTATTTAAATGCAAGAAATTACTCAACTGTTGAAAAACAACTTTTTCAATGATTTTACCTAGAAATGGCAGGTTTGATATGGGCCTGTAATTGTTAATTACTGAAGCATCTAGATTATTCTTTTTTAAGAGCGGTTTAATGACTGCAGTTTTCAGGGCCTGTGGAAAAATACCTGAGTGAAGAGATTTGTTTACTATATGAAGTAGATCTGAGGCCATGCAACAAAAAACATCTTTGAAAAATCCTGTTGGAATAATATCAAGGCAGCAGGAGGAGGATTTCAGAAGTTGAATAATGTCCTCTAGGTTTTTATCATTAATCTGATGGAATTGTGTCATGGTGTTTGAATTGATGTTAAGTGGACACAGAGACAACACATTTGCTGTACCTGATGCAGAGGCACTGACTGCTTGTCTGATTTTCTGAATGTTGTCAGTGAAGAAGGAGGAGAAATCATTGCACGCCCTGGTGGATAGAAATTCAGAGGCTACTGACACTGGGGGGTTAGTTAGTCTGTCGACGGTAGCAAACAAGGCACGTGCGTTGTTTTTGTTTTTGGTAATGATGTCAGAGAAGAAAGACTGTCGTGCGTTTTTCAATTCCAAATTATAAAGGCCAAGTCTCTCTTTATAGATTTCAAAGTGAACCTGGAGATTTGTTTTTCGCCACCTGCGTTCAGCTTTTCCACATTCTCTTTTTTCTGTTTTCACGGTCATGGCCTTTCTCCATGGAGATATTTTCTTGCCAGACACTTCCTTTACCTTAGTTGGAGCAATGACATCTATAACATTTTTAATTTTTGAATTAAAATGATATTCTAGCTCATTTACTGAGATGTTAGTAGGGGCAAGTGTGGAAGAAATATTCTGAGTAAACATTTCCCTAGTATTTTCAGTTAAATATCGCTTTGTGGTTACCTCTTTTTGAACATTTTTGTGAACAGAAATAGAGCTCTCAAAGAAAACACAGGAATGGTCAGAGAGTGCAACATCAGAACACAAAACAGTTATTTTGCCCCTCTGTCCTGGGGGTTGTCAACATGGATGTTAAAATCACCAACAATGAATAGATGGTCAAAGTCAATACACACTATAGACAGCAGTTCGGTAAAATCATCAAAAAATCTTGCACAGTATTTGGGTGGTCTATAGATATTTAGGAACAGAGCTCGAGAGGAGCATTTCAGCTGAAGGGCCACATATTCAAAAGAATCAAAGTTCCCATAAGATGTCTTCCTGCATTGAATGGAATCATTGAACAGAATAGCAACTCCACCCCTTTTCTTCAGGATCTCCACTGACTCATGGAGCACAGAGTGAGTCTGTGGAAGCTCAAACACTCTCCGTCACACATTCACCTTCTCTGATCTTTGTTATTCTTAAAGTTTGGATTCCATTTCCATTTGGAAATACAGAAAAAAATAAAAGCATTAAAAAGTCTTCAGGCAAATTCTGAAAATCATAAACACAAACAGATCTGTATGAACTGCAGTCAGTGAACTGACCTGAGAGCCTCCAGTCTGCAGTTTGGACTCTTTAGTCCAGAACTCAGCAGCTCCACTTCTGAATCGTGCAGCTCGTAGTGACTCAGGTCCAGATCTCTCAGGTGAGAGGGGTCAGACTTCAGAGCTGAGGCCACGACTTCAAATTCAGTCTCTGAGAGTCCAAAGCCAGAAAGTCTATAACGACACATATATCACAACTTGTGTTAGTATAAAAACAGAGGAACCATTTAATGAACTTACTGAATTTGAAATGGAACAACTTTTAACATATTATGAACATTTTATTTAATAATAGAGTTTTCTTTATTCATTGTCAATTGTTTTGTTTTTGTTTCATGGTTCTGTCACAAGTTCACAAGACAGTTTTGGGTTGGACAATGTGGGGGATAACAAAACCTCCGGGCGCTCCATCCCGCTGGGGAGTCAGGTACCCGGAGGTGCACGGTGGACGGCCAGGGCGAGGCCGCCGCACTGCACTAGAGTCAGGGTTCCGAGTTTTTCGAGCCCAGTCCCGTTTAAAGCGCAACACGGAGCACCCGGCTGGAGCCTCCAGCAGATCCCCCCGCGCGGTTCCCTCGTCCCTCGGAAGAGGCGGAGAGGTGGGTGTTTTTCATCTGCTGGTGGACTGCCGGGGAGAACGTGCTGCTCGGGAGCCAGGCTCAGAGTGAGTGGCAGTGCACCTGCCTTTGACAGCTTATTCATTGTCAGTCTGTCAGACATTATTTAAACTCTTAAGCATTGTGGTAAAAACAGATCTGATTTCATGTTTAAGAAACTGCAATGATATATTAATAACTGCTTTCACCGATCACTGTAAATACTGCTGTATGTTTTGATCACATGCTGCTCTGAGAAAACCTCTAAAGTCCTTCATTTGTTTGACATGTCTCCATCACTCAAAATAATGTGAAGAAAAGAGAAAAATTTTAAAATGTCACAATATATAAATAGAATAACTGGATCATTTAATTTTGCTCTCAGAGTATTTAACATCAAACATTTTATAGTATTTATTTGAAGAAATAAACTTCTGATCCACATCGATTTATAAAGCTAATCACATCTGGACTTACTTGGCCTTCCTGCAGTTCCTCACAGCTGGAAGCAGTCTCCGTCGTCCCTCCTTTGATGTGTGGTACTTCCTCAGGTCCAACTCATCCAGAACCTCCTCTGACATCTGCAGCATGTAGGCCAGAGCAGAGCAATGGATCTCAGAGAGTTCCTTCTCTGATCTGTTCTCTGACTTCAGGAACTCTGTGATCTCCTGATGTACTGAGAGGTCCTTCATCTCTGTCAGACAGTGGAAGATGTTGATGATCCTGTCAGGAGAGATTTCAGAACTGTTCATCTCCTTCAGGTTGCTGATGGCTCTCTGGATGATTTCTGGACGGTTGTCTGTGCGACCCCGCCGGCCTCCTAACAGTCTCTGGATGATCTTTGGACGGTTGTCTGTGTGACCCAGCAGGCCTCCTAAGAGTCTCTGGTTGGACTCCAGAGAGAGGCCGTGGAGAAAGCGGACAAACAGGTCTAGGTGGCCATTTTCACTTCTGAGGGATTTCTCCATGGCTCCCTTCAGGAAGACATCCAGGGATGGGTAATCATAGTAACTGTTTTTACTGTTCTCATCGGGCCAGTCTCCCTGCAGGAAGTCCTGCAGTACCTCTGTGTCTCTGTTGGTGTAACAGTGCAACATGTAGACTGCAGCCAGAAACTCCTGAATGCTCAGATGAACAAAGCAGTAGACTGTTTTCTGGAAGATCAAACTCTCTCTTTTGAAGATCTCTGTGCAAAGTCCTGAGTGCACCAAGGCCTCGGTGACACCAAGACCACAGCGCTGCAGGTCTTCTTGGTAGAACATGATGTGTCCTTTCTCCAGATGTTCAAACGCCAGCCTCCCCAGCTTCAGAAGAACCTCCCTGTCAGCCTTCGTCAGCTGCTGTGGACTCGTCTCATGTCCCGCTTCATACTTCTGCTTCTTCCTCTTGGTCTGGACCAGCAGGAAGTGTGAGTACATGTCAGTGAGGGTCTGGGGCAGCTCTCCTCTCTGGTCTGTAGTCAACATGTGGTCCAGAACTGCAGCAGTGATCCAGCAGAAGACTGGGATCAGACACATGATGTGGAGGCTCCTGGATCTCTTGATGTGAGAGATGATTCTGCTGGACAGGTCTTCATCACTCGATCTCCTCCTGAAGTACTCCTCCTTCTGGGCGTCAGTGAAGCCTCGTACTTCTGTTACCCTGTCCACACACTCAGGAGGGATCTGATTGGCCGCTGCAGGTCTGGAAGTTATCCAGACGAGAGCCGAGGGAAGCAGCTTCCCCCTGATGAGGTTTGTCAGCAGCACGTTGACTGAGGACTGCTGTGAGACATCAGACACAACCTCACTGTTTCTGAAGTCCAGAGAAAGTCTGCTTTCATCCAGGCCGTCAAAGATGAGCAGCACTTTGCAGACAGCCAGCTGCTCTGCTGTGACCTTCTGTAAGGTTGGATGGAAAACATGGAGCAGCCTGAGAAGACTGTACTGCTCTCCTTTGATCAGGTTCAGCTCCCTGAAGGAGAGCGGGATCACCAGACTGACATCTTGGTTTTCCAAACCCTCGGCCCAGTCCAGAGTGAACTTCTGCACTGAGAAGGTTTTTCCAACTCCAGCGACTCCGTTGGTCAGGACCGCTCTGATGAGAGTCTGTTGGTCAGGTGAGGCTTTAAAGATGTCCTGGCACTTGATTGGAGTGTCATGGAGGGTCTCTTTCTTGGAAGCTGTCTCCAGCTGCCTCACCTCATGTTGGGTATTAACCTCTTCACTCTGGCCTTGTGTGATGTAGAGCTCAGTGAAAATGCTGTTGAGGAGGGTTTCACTTCTATCAGTTCCTTCAGTCACACGTTCACATCTCCTCCTCAGACTGAGCCTATGTTCATCTAAAACCTCCTGCAGACCATCTGCTGGAAGAGAAGGGAACATGAGAGAATGAGGAAAATGCTTTTGAGAATCTGAACAGTCAGGGTTTTAAATGTCATGATTTTTATAAAACATTTTAATGTCTATACTTTACAACACAAAAGATCCTGGACATGAAGACTCCAGAAGGAACAACAAATACTAGCTGCCAGATATTTATACTATCATACGTAAATGTTATATAAGAGCTGGGCTAATGTAGTAATGTCTGAGTAAGACAGAAAGCGTTTTTTAGGGAAACACTGCTGTTCCATGTGAAATATTTGTGTACACACTTTAAAACCAAAGCCTTGAAGAAGGGATCAGATGACACAGTGTTTCTATGGAAGATTAGACACCCAGCACCCAGACAGCGGTAAAGAGGCTGCTCGTGTTCGGCCTCTTACTTTGTAAAATGCTCCATCTTTCTCCACACTGAGGACAGCAGGAGTCTCCTGATGGAGGAAGCTGCTCCCAGTATGAGGCGATGCACTGTCTGCAGAACCAGTGTCCACAGCTGGTAGAGACTGGATCCTTCAGGACGTCCTGACACAGAGCACAGCTGGACAGATGCTCCTCCACAGGAACAGGACTCTTCCTCTTCCCTCTGTGGAGATGAACACATCCTTTACAGCACTTTACATTAGTGGAGCTGATTCTCACCAAAGGTACAACAATGTGGCAAATTCTAGTTTCATATTTAAAATAAAGTCTGTATCTCTAGATGATTGTTCATCCTGGTGAGGTAGATAGTGGTCAGTTATTCATATCATTAGGAAACCACACAGCTTTGTGTCTGGATTCATAACATCAGCTGAATTAATCTGGTACACTTTAGCACTTTGAACCCAATTTACATTGAATTTCCTGTTAAAGGTGGGGTAGGTAATTTTGGAGTAACCAGCTCGAGTGCTAGAATTTGAAAATACACAGCCGGAAGAAATCTGCTACTTCCTTACAGAGCCCCTCCTCCAACACACACGAACGCGCACATGACCAATGAGGGCACGAGATAAGTTTGTGCACAGATGGAAGGCTGACAGGCAGGTAGGCCATCCAGTTACTTTAGCCGGGCCGGCTCAGATGATTGGTCGAGCTTTTTACAGCGCCACGACTTCCACAGATGATATTATTTTATGGATTTTTTGTCAAAGCACTTCAAAGATATTCATTGCTATCGGGATGTTAAGAGCATTCCATGGAATATAACAAAAAGTGTATCTCGAGCCGGTTTCTCAAACTTACCTATCCTACCTTTAATTAATTGTAATAAACATATGGAAAGGATGCCAAGATAACAACATAATGATATTGATTTGAGTTAATGCTGTCTGCAACACAACGAGCAAAATACTTTAAAATGTTTGTTTTCTGAATGGAGATCGGTTTGGTTAAATCTAGGCTAGGCTAACATTGTAGCTGATCCATCAACACTCAACATAACTCCATCCAGTCATTAGAACAGCAGCTATTATATTGTTAGCCCCACAGACAGTCTCTGGTTTATACAGGTACATGAATAACCCTGATTTAATATGAGGTGCTGTAGAGCTCTGGCTGCTGATGTTCCCTCTTCTGATTTATCTCAGCATGTCAGTGACGACAGGAGCAGAATCTCAATACTGTTTTTGTAACAGATGGTCACAAACTTTACCCTCAAGTTGTAACTTTTCAAGTTGTGTGAATACCCGGGGGATATGAATGTTGCTTCTTTACTTGATTTGTGTTGCCAGGCACAAAATTGTGTCTGTGAATTGACCCTACATTTTATCGCACCGCACAAAATAAATATGCTGATGATAAATACAACCAGCTCACCCGGTTGTTAGAATCATTATACTATACTGCCCTCATAATTATAATGTATGTAATATGTAATTATAATTATAAAATAACCGTTTTGATTATCAGATAATATAAAAACGGAATCCTCTTCAGGTCAGGGGCCTCATTTATAAAGGGATATACGCTCAAAAAATGGCGCACGCCAGTTTCTACGCAATGTTTGCGATTTATAAAATACTAACTTGACGGGAGAATGTGCGGTCCTCCACCCAAACTCTAACCCATGCGTACGCACTAAGCACAACAACGGGAGAGACGAGAAACTGCGACACCGCGTTGGCAGAAGGAAGAATGGAGAGAAATATGTGGAAATAATACCATAAATAAAATGTTACCTCTTATTTATCATATGAAGAATTCATTTTCAAACATTGATTAAAGCCAATCTCAAAATGATTTAACAAACGCCTCTTTGAGACTCCTCAGTGCACACAAAAACATAACTTGGAGAAATAAATAAATACGGATATGTTATTTAAAACCACCTCGAATATGTTGTGTTAATGTTATGAAATGTTTTCTCATAAATGATGCGGTAAGCAGGAGGACAGAATTACGTCTAAACTGACGCCGTTTTGCATATCTATAGGTTGTAGATCAAGGGCGCCGGAAGCGGGGGGGCCAGGGGGCCATTGGCCCCCCCACATTTTCGCAGCAGCAGATTTTTATTTTTTTTTTCAGTCTTTATTTCGAACAGATTCAAAAATAACAAATAAAAAATAACAAATGTGAAAAACAGAATACCGTATTGTTATAATACAGTATTTATCCACATTCATGGTAATATTTGTATATTCAACAAAAAAAAAAAAAAGTCTTCATATTAATAATAATAATAAATCATATGTGTCCGAAAGGGAGTAGGAGGAAGCAAATGCTTATTAATTCCCACCCCTTACTTGATCAATGATTGTCCTTTAAATCATTATGCAAGTTATTCCTACTTAGATTTACATTTATACATACATATACAATAATTTCTCGTCTTCAATCACCTTTCTTCATTCTCATATTTTTCCAAAAAAGTGTTTCTGTACATCCTTTTAAACTGAATTATGCTTGTGCTTTGTTTTAACTCCTGCTCCAAACCATTCCATAAAATCACCCCACAGATTGTTAAACTCATACTTCTCAGAGTTGTTCTGACCTTGAGTTGTTTAAAATGTAGATTTCCTCTCAAATTATACCCACCCTCTCTGTCTATGAACAATGTTTTTAATTTCCTAGGAAGTAGATTATGTCTGGCTCTGTACATGATTTGTGCCGTTTTAAATTTAACCAGATCAAGGAACTTCAATATGTGTGACTTCATAAATAATACATTAGTGTGTTCAAGATATCCAACATTATTGATAACTCTTATAGCCCTTTTTTGTAATGTGCATAACGGCTGTAGGTTGGTTTTGTACGTGTTTCCCCAAATCTCCACACAGTAAATCAGATATGGCTATATTAGTGTGTTATATAGAGTATACAATGAGTTGTAGTCCAGAATGTATCTGGCTTTTCCCAATATTGCGATAGTTTTAGCCAGTTTTGCTTTTACATGAGTGATATGAGGTTTCCAGCTGATTTTGTGGTCTAAAACCACACCAAGGAACTTAATTTAATATACTCTTTATATGTGTATGTTAATATCTAGTATTAATTGTATCTGTGGATTTGTTTTATGTTTTCAACAAATTCAACAAATTGTTGTCTGTTGCTTAAATAATCTCTCACCCAGTCTAATCCCACCCCTCTGATGCCATACCGTTCCAGTTTTATCAGTAAAATATTGTGATCTATGGTGTCAAATGCTTTTTGTAAGTCTATAAATATTCCCACTGCTTGTTTTTTATTGTCCATGCAGTTTGCTCTTTCCTCACTTAATTCCATTAGTGCCATAGATGTTGATCTATCTTTCCTGAATCCATATTGACTGTCGTCCAAAAGCTGATGTGTTTCCATGAAACTGTGCCGCGGAAAACTGTACAAATCCCGTTTCAATAATTCCCCTCTACTCTAAAGTCGCATCTAAAACGTGATCTGATCTAGCTGTGTATATTTTGTTCTTTTTGATTGTTATATTCAATCTCACTAGCTACAGGCATGTTTGAAGCTTGTAAAGGGAAGATGACAGCTCTCACTGGCCACTCTGCTGTTCCTCAGCGCCACCCCCCCTCCATCCCGCTGAAATTATGAATGTAAGGTGTATAGTAATCATAGATAACACGGCAGGGTCCGTTACAGTTTGTTTTTATCTGATTTCAATTAAGCAAAGTCTTGGCTTTCAGAATATTAAACTTGTTTCGGCAAATTCAGATGATAAATAGGCCTACAACTTTGAAGCTTGTGACGGCATAATTACAAGCGGAGAACGGAGTAGCTTAACGTCACAGCAGGCATAACAACAGCCGGTGTTTCTCGTGAGTGCAGTAATCCAAACGAAAATATCTTCCCTCCGTAGTATTTTGATCATTTGCTCCGCTAATAATCAATCATGATGATTGATGATGATGAGAAATGATGGATTCCAGAGAAGAGAAAACTTTAAAGGCCTTTTTCTCAAAATGATGACTCTGTAACAGTCATTATATAATGTGACATATTTTGCTTAATATTTGGAGTACAAAAACAATCCTGATATCATTAGAAAGCTAGGAATCAAAATATGTCTTCGGGTCAATGCGACTGATTTCGATGGAGCAGCAGGTAACTTTGCATTAGGTAAAATAAAGCAGGCAGACATAACAGGAAGAATATGTACATTTTAACCCAATCAAATAGGACATTGTCACACCATTCAAATGTATCCATGTAAATTACAACCAATAAAAAAGCTTAGATTTGTTTATTTGTTACGTTGTTTACTTTATTTGTTACGTTGTTCTGTGTGTGTCAGCCGTTAACCTATAAATAATATATACACTTGCAAACATGTCAGAAGAACCAGTGCAGAAGAAAACTAAATGTGACCCGCTCTATCGAAATCAGTCGGAAGTCGCAACGGCTCATTTCAGAATAAACGTGGATTTACGTGAAAAACTATTTTTTCAGGGTTCGGGTGTTTTGTTTGATTTTAAACAAACAAAGTCTTGGCTTTCAGAATATGAAACTTTTATTTCCAAAATCACACGATAAATATATTTTTGAAGCTTGTAAAGGGATGAAGACAGGCACCTCTCACTCGCAATCTGCTCTTCCAGCAGCGCCGCCCCCCTCCCTCCGCTGAAATTATGAATGTAAGAGTATAGTAATCATAGATAACACGGCAGGGTCCGTTACAGTTTGTTTTCATCTGATTTTAATTAAACAAAGTCTTGGCTTTCAGAATATTAAACTTGTTTCGGCAAATTCAGATGATAAATACAACTTTGAAGCTTGTAACGGCATAATTACAAGCGGAGAACGGAGTAATTTAACGTCATAGGAGGCATAACAACAGCCGGTGTTTCTCGTGAGTGTTTTCCCCGGGAAACAAACACAAACGCAAAATTACACAAACACACACACACATATACACACACACTCGCGAGCTTCCCCTCCAAACGAAAATATCTTCCCTCCGTAGTATTTGATCATTTGCTCCACTAATAATCAATCAGATCGATGGATTCCAGAGAAGAGTAAACTTTTAAGGCCTTTTTCTCAAAATGAGGACTCGGTGATAGTCATTATATAATGTGACATATTTCGCTTAATATTTGGAGTACAAAAACAATCCTGATATCATTAGAAAGCTAGGAATATCCTCTTTCCAACCGTGTATACAACTCAAAATGTGTCTTCGGGTCAATGCGACTTATTTCGATGGAGCAAGTCACAAATACAGTCAATCTAAACTTAAATGTAACAACTGGAAGGTCACATCCCTGACATCCACATCTCCGGAGCCTGGACCTTCATCAATCATAGAAACAGCAAAGCCAGATGAACCCAAAAGCAGCACCTCTGCGGCCGCAGAAACTGTCAAAACCACCGCCGCCCCCACCGCCGCCGTCGTTGAACCGAAACAGGCTGGTTCCGACTGCATGGAGGTTTGTTGTTGGGACATTGAGGCGGGTAAAGCTGTACAGCTAACTATCGGAAAAAAGGAGACCGCTAGTAGATTATTTGAGCAAAGAGAAGGTACTTCAACGCAGAATGGTACAAAAACAGAGAGTGGTTCATTCTTTGCAAAACCACTAAACGATAGTGATAAATTGCGATGTTAACAACCTCATGATAACCTCATATTTTTTTAACTTAGGATCATACCTGTTTTTAGTCTAGAAAAAGGTAAATGTGTGCATTTTATTATAAAGTTGTGTATATTTACAGACTATTGCAAAAACTAAGAAGCTTATAAACATCAGGTTTAAAACTAAAAGAGCTTTACAAAAAAGTAACCAAAGATGTTTGGAGTTTTATTTGAGTTATTCATTTACATTTTTTGTCTAAGAGATGCTGATTTGAAACCATTGTTAGGCCTACATACAGTTACGCATTTCCTGTTTCTGCCAGAGAGAGGGGAGTTTGTCCCAAAGCTTGCTGCTGTATTTACTCCCTCCATCTGACAGGAGGGAGCCTCATGTGTCACTCCACTGAGTTCACTCCGTCACGGAGGGTGTGTGTAGGTGTAGGGCGTGGTTTGGGATTGGGCCATACACACGCACTTTTTTTGGCCCCCCCACTTCTAAAATGAATCCGGCGCGCCTGTTGTAGATACGAGCATGGTTTTATACTATCATGTTTAATCGTGTTTTATGCCGTTTGCATTTGAGATGCACAGGCTGCAGCAGAGACGCTGCGCACAGCTGATCGACAGCTGGGACACAAACCACAAAATACGAAAACATAATTCAGATCCAGTCGTCATGACTCCACTCCGGAGGGATTCCCCAATCATTTCTTACAGTTTCTCATCAAGGGGGTTTCTCCTGTCCCCGGTACAAACACACTGCCTGAGGAAGGCTATGTGTATTTATTTTGTCATTAACCTTTTTCGGGCCATTTATTTATTTATTTTGGTGACGATCCGACCTCCATGCTGCTACTCTGGTTCAAACTGCATCCACCAAACAATATGATTTATCTCGACCTCCCCAAAATAACCAAAATCTGACACAGTGTGAGATGTCTTTTTTAGCTGTTCTGTCGTCATTTCCTGCGATCTTCTTCATAAGGTCAGTCAAAATGAATGAATGAATGGGCGTTTCTTTGACTATTTATAGGCAAATATGGGCGTTACGTGAAAGCTGCACCGCCCGCAAAAGCTGCACCGCATTTCGAGTCGAATGTGATTTATAAAGGGAAACCGGCGTAGGAAGTGCTGTACGCACTTTCCTCGTCGGTACGCAATGTTTGGTGAATCGGAAAATGTCGGAACATTTCTGTACCTATTTTTTTTTATGTCTACTATGTAAGCAACCTTCCCACGTAAATCCTACGCACGGAATTATAAATGAGGCCCCAGGTCACAGTAGAAACAGACTCTTACTTCCTGTCTGAGGGTCCAGGTTCATCTCTGAAGTCTAGAGGTTCCTCTTTAGACCGGTCACTCTCCAGAGACAGACAGCTGGGGACTGGAGATTTGTCCTCTTTGTCTTCTTTTAAATCACTCATCTTCTCCAGTCTGAGAGATAAACCAGTAACACTGCACACACACACACACACACACACACACACACACACACACACACACACACACACACACACACACACACACACACACACACACACACACACACACACACACACACACACACACACATTGTATTAACACAGTTATAGTATGTTAATCTAAACCATCATAATGATCAACTTGGGTTTCAAAACAAACCAGTCAGACTTCAGGCAGGCTGCTCTCCATTTTGACTGCGCTGGGTTGTTACATGTTATCTGACTTATGAATCAGAAACCAGGAAATGGATAAAAAAAGTTCACAATATTTGAAGATGTCACTTTCGACTGCAGGAAATACATATATTTTAATGTACAGATTATGTTATGACATACAGTATAACAGAGTAAATGATTAATGTGTTAAAAAGCAGATCCTGGTGTTCACACTCACCCTGTTTTTCTCCTCCTGCTCTGTCGAAGTCTAAAATGGAGTCTGGCAGTCTGACTTCATACTTCCACTTTCAACATGCTTCCCTGTCTGCAGTTCCTCCCTTTGTTTCATAACCAGCCTCATCACGTGGACAGGTACAAACAGGGATTATTTTAAATTGCTCTCACAGTAAAACAGCTCCAAAAACATGTATAAGAAAGTTAGAAATTAGACAAGCAGCTAAAAACAAGCAAGTACAAATTATAATACCACAAAGTGCAAACAAATCAATAAACATCCTGCATTCAAAACCTTACTTGTGAGGTTGTTTTGGGTACTCTAGTGTTAACTGTGCAATATATCAACCCAGTCTCACGGCATTTCGTGTTCACCAACACGATTTTTAATCTATTGATTCGTGTTCACCAACACGATTTGCCCCTTTTTTCGTGTTGCACAGCACGATTTTAAAAGCAATATATTTCTACTGCCTGCAGCACGTCTTTTTCTCCGGTCGGGTCGAGGAAGACCGGAAGCTGTGTGGTTCATAAAAACATGTTCTTACTCAATATCAAGCAACAGTTATTGCTTTTATTTGAAATCGTATAATTTCGGACTTTTGTTGCCGTCTGTGAGGAAAATAAATGGGGCTCAGAGCCTCAGAATACTGAAATCTGTATTTTTTAAATCTTTTTTTCCTTCTAATTTGTTATTCTTTTCAAAATAACACACTGTTATTTACTCACCAATAACACACAATTATCCTTGCTTTTATTTATTGGTTTAATTCCATAATCTCGGGCTTTTTTGGCGTCCGTCAGGAACTGAATTTCAAAATAAAAATAACCCGAAACAGACGTAGGCATTTCGAGTGATTACCCAAGATCCTCAGCTATGGTTTTAAGCTCGTTTATTGGATGTTTTAGCCGCAATGCATGCTGGGATTTGGTGTTTATATGATACGAAATCCGGAAAACATTTTAAAAGAATAAAATAATACTTAATTCCGAGCGCTCTTGCTTTTCTCTTTGAAAGTCATCACATAACGGCATTGTAATACACGGTTCGGCTGCATTACATATTACAGATCTGCCGTAGTTCTTTATTTATAGAGCCCTGATGAGAAGACCTTTGGAAAAACTGAGAAAATGCCGCCGAAACTGAATACTTGACGTGGATCATAAATATATTCAACAATTAAACAACATCTTCAATTTCTCTTCACACAATACGTTTCCTTGCAGTATCAACACTAATTCGGCTGACTTTTACATTTGATCTAATTCACAGATAGGTTATATTTACACCATAACGGTGCACAGCTGATATAAAAGGACTGTAGTTTTTAAAGATATTACTGATTTTCTTTGAATGTAAGAATGTAAATACTGAGTCTGAAATAGTATAGCAATATGCTGTAAAATTATGTGAAAGCATGCATAAAACTACACATTTTCAGATGTTGTACGAAAACAAAAGTGTCCTACACTAATAATACAAAGTTATTATGGCTGTGTGTACCTTGTGTGCACCGCCTAGTGGTTAAAGCACGTTATTGAATTATTGTGTTTTATTTGATTAAAAAAATATTAAGAGTACATACTTTCATAGGGGGAAAGTATAAATATAGAATATAAAAAATCAAGAAGATACTATAAGTGATCTCTACAATAAAACAGTTTAGTGCAGAATGTACAAAGATATGAATAGGAGGAGGTGCAAAACAGAAAAACGAATTAACCTTTATTTAAACATTAAATAACAGATTAAGGTCTTCTTTTAAATAAGAAAACAACTTTGGGGGTATCTATCTACAGATAAATATTAAGCCTGACAAAGTACTTAACGTCTAATATATTGCTTTCCTGCAATGTTAACTATGTTGAAGCACTTATTTTAACTGATATTATACATATTAATTATACTCTTATGTATGTAGATAGAATAAGAAATGTGCAGAATATGACAGTTTAATGGTGGAGGTACACACATATTGATAGATGTCTTGTAATGCACTGTTGAGGAACCTGTGACCCAAGTATTTCATTCATTGCATAACTGCACCGTAGTTGTGTATATGATATGTCAATACACCTTTGAAAATCTTGAAAGGGATGTGCAAAATAGCCATAATATACAGTCTTTCATTAACTATTAGTAGAGAATAACGAGTAATGAATATACTTTATTACTCGTTTCCATTCATGTCAATTGCAGATACATGTTTAGTCTTCTCAAGCACCAACTATCAAATATCTCTCCTGATTGTTGGCACTTGACAATTACCTTACCTGAATTTTACTCAGGTGTAACTAAAGTCTGATTTAAGGGTTGTTTATATTTCACATAATTAATCAGAATCTGCAAAGTAAGCAGCAATAACTGTGGCTTGATATTGAGTAAGAACATATTTTTACGAACCACACAGCTTCCGGTCTTCCTCGACCCGACCGGAGAAAAAGACGTGCTGCAGGCAGTAGAAATACATTGCTTTTAAAATTGTGCTGTGCAACACGAAAAAAAGGGGCAAATCGTGTTGGTGAACACGAATCAATAGATTAAAAATCGTGTTGGTGAACATGAAATGCCGTGAGACTGGGTTGGGTGTTGACGCCTATAGCCCAATGTTTTGTTAAGTGCTCTGTGGCATTTTTTTTATAATAAAGAGCACAAAAGACATATCTGTTATGTCCTCCATAGTAGAACTTTATGTAAGCCTACACATTTAGGAACAGAGATGGGGTTCTGCCCAAAGTCGAGCAACATAAAGTAACGTAAAAGTAACGAGTAACGTAAAACGTTACTTTCCTTGGAGGGTAACTAAGTAAAGTAAGGGATTACTTTTTTAAAGAAGTAACGAGTAACGAGCAAACACTATTTTTTAAAAGTAACTTCCCCAACACTGGTCTCAGGGCTTCTTAACATTGAACAACCTATTAATGTGTCATACCCACTTAACGGGAAGAAGCCCAGATAACTGACAATATGAACCATGTTTACAGAAACAAAACACAAGTCTAACGCCGAGCCTCTGAATTAGCACTAAGCGAAAAAATGCTAACGCACTTCGCACAGAACTCACGTTAGCGATCTTTTATACTTCATCGGATCTGCACAAACAAGATATCATCTGAAAGCTGAGATTCCACAGGTTCCAATGGTATAAGTATCATCACTGTGCGACCAAAATTATCAGGCAAACCCCGACAACACACAGCGTAGCTTTACTGAGCCAGCTGCCATGACCTATCGGTTAATAGCCAGCCGGGTTCGGTACAAAAGCCTGCGCTATTTAATCTATCGATTAATAAGCTGCGGAGCACAGTAATTACACCAGCTGCCTTCAATCTGGTGATTAGTAGGCAGGGTTCGCTGCAGGGATCTGATGGTTATGACTCTTCGGTTATTAAACCACAGACCTCGCGGCATTCTTCTGTCCGAAATACGCCACCTATATACGGTCATAATAAGCCCAGGAGCGCAGTGTTAACGCCTCATGTGGATATTACTGCACACACCTCCACCCATCCTCTGAGCGTGTACACGCCTCATGATGCGAGGCGGAGTGATACGCAGCGTGTGGAGGCCTCCGCACAGCCCTTTCGCTCTAGGCCCACCTTGGGTTGCCTCACGGGCAGCGGCGGCGAGGGCTCTGGCGTGGCTCGTCGTCATGACAACCACAACACATCTCGAGCATGCGCGCCCGCTGTCAGAGTGTTTCTCGGCGTGGCAGCGCATGTGTTTGATGGACAGATGGATGAACAGGCTGATCAGCAGAGGGTATACCCTGCAGTTCGCCTCCCCCCCCCCCACAGTTCAACGGGATACAGGTGACATGCCTAACACCCCGTGAACAGTGTCTTGCGCTCCAAGCAGAGCTACGGGAACTCCTGTTGAAAGAGGCTATTTCCAGGGTTCCCCAGGAGGAAGAAAATCAGGGGTATTACTCCCGCTATTTTCGTATCCCGAAAAAGACAGGGGGAATGAGACCCATCCTCGACCTGTCAGTTTTCAACAAGGCAATAATGAAAAGGCCTTTTCACATGCTGACGGTCAAAAAGGTGCTAGAGTGTGTTCACCAGGGAGATTGGTTCACCTCTATAGACCTAAAGGATGCATACTTCCATGTACCCATCATTCCGCAACACAGGAAATTCCTGCGGTTTTCATTCCAGGGAATAGCGTACCAGTACAACCGTCTGCCGTTCGGCTATTCCCTGGCTCCTCGTACTTTTTCAAAGTGTGTAGAGACGGCGTTGCAGCCGCTACACAGAGGAGGGATGAGAGTACTATTTTTACCTGGACGACCTGCTGCTGCATGGCTCGCTCCAGGGAGGAAGCGGCTTTACAGACGGTACAACTCATATCGTATCTGTCAAAGCTGGGTTTCATGATAAATTGGGAAAAGAGCTGTCCTATTCCAGCCCAGAGTATTGTTTACCTGGGTGGAATTTAACTCAGCCCGCATGAGAGCACGACTCTCACGGCAGAGAGTGGAGTGGATACGCTGACAGCTCTCCTTCGACGTGTCACACCCCGCAGCGTGGTGACGAAAAAGCCCCCCACAGTTCAATGGGATACAGGAAACACTCCTGTCCTCCCAGAAGCTATGTCTTGCGCTCCAAATCCGAGCTGCTGGAACTCCTGTTGAAAGAGGATATTTCCAGGTTTCCTCAAAGGGAGGAAAATCAGGGGTTTTCACTCCCGTTATTTTTCTAATCCCGAAAAAGACTGGTGCAATGAGACATCCTCGATCTGTCAGTATTTCACATGCTGACGATCAAACAGGGGCTGGAATGTGTTCACCAGGACGACTGGTTCACTTCCACCTGAAGGATGCATACTTCCACGTACCCATCATCCCGAA